ATGTAATAATAATATAATATATTATCTCAAAAGATATGTATAAAAAATGTTGGATGTAGATAGTTTCATCTCAATTAAAGTTTGCGACGCCCATAAGTTATTATCTTCGTAACAACTTATAAGCATTTTGGACATGTTTCTTTCTTCTATGTATTTGAGTGTTCAAAACAATCGTATATCTTTTTAATGACAGATTCTTTGATTAACTGGAAGTAGACTTTTTCTTAGAAAAAATATTGAAGTATGCGTGTCAATTATTTGCAAGTTATAAACGATTATTAATCATCTTTATATAATGAAAAAAATGATTTTTCTCGATATTTTCGTTATAGAAAAATAGATTTCCAAGTTGGTTGAAAAATTTGCCGTTAAAAAGATATCCAGTGGTTTTGGAATATTCTATATATCTATTTATATTGCATATAATCTATATTATATAAGAGACATTGGATTTACGTTTATGTAAAATTTTGAAGTCTTATATATATATAGCTAAGTAATAAACAAATTAAACTTTTGTTCAGAAGAATAATTTACGATAGAATATAAACTCTCTTTCTCTCTCTCTCTCTCTCTCTTTTTATAATGACAACATTATTGTACATATATGTGTAAAAAAATCTTGGAAAAATCGAGAAAAATGTAAAAATATATTAAATAAAACGGGATATATAACACAATAATATGTACACATATAAGTATACAAGTAAAAGACAAAAGATAAAAAGATAAAAATTATAAAAATAGAGAAGAGAAGAGAAAAATAAAGCTGGATGAAAATACAAAAAAATCTCGTTTTTCAAAAATGGCTTAATTTTGATTACGGAGTCGACCGCGTTAGGGAGACTTTTGAAAAAATACTGTCTGATGTTATCGGAAATCTCGTCGGGGATCAGAAGTTTCTACCCTTCCTACCATCTCTCGTTAGCAGCCGCTACCAAACCTACCACCACCTTCCTATGATTGAATTGGCGGTGTTGGAAAGCTTGCGAGAAGAATCGACCTTAAGCAAAACGGCCTTAAGGGCGTGTATCCATACTCGCTCACCATCGGAGTGAGTTATAAATCGATTTGTATCCTGGCCAATGAGGGTTGGAAGTGGCGTATTCTGATTGGCCGGTACCCAGACCACTCCCACAGTATTAATAAAGGTTTCGTACGAAAGCCAGTTTCACAACGCTACAATCGTTGCTTCACAAGATGCAGTGTGTATGTGTGTAGGTCAACAATACTAAATATGTAAATCTAGTATCTCTTATACATCTTGATAATAATTTACGATTTTATTTAAGCAAATTTTAAAATGTGTATACTGTAAATATAACTTTAATACATAATTATAAAAATATCGCTTTACAAATTATATATTTATATTTACGATTCTACATTTTATGTATAATTAAAAAATTTTTTTTAATTTAATATTTATTATGTAATTGTACATTAGTATAATAATATTTGGATATTATTTAACTATATATACTCTCTGCTTTTAATCATTAATAACGTTATATAAATTATTTGCAATTACATAATTTTCGTGCACTTAAAGTATTATAAAAAAGGAATAGGGTTAGTGCAAATGTTAATGTTACGTAAAATTTAATAAAACAGTAGAAAGTGTAACCGCATATGTCATATAATTAAATATGCATAATATGAAAATTAAAATCACAGCTTATAAATTGTAAATAAAATCATTATTGTTATTATAAAAAAATAATGTTATGCTTTAAAAGTTAGGGTGCGAATACCAATTTTGTCATGAAAGATTACTTGAAAATTATGAAAAGTAGCTTCAAAATAAAATCTATTATAATCATTTGATATTCGTAATTGTATAGTATTACTGATGCATTATTTAACAATAGAAACAAGAGAGCACATATTTGTAATTACCTGGAAATACCGATAGCTTATGATATAATGGCAGTGCAATGAATTCAATACAATCTACATCATTTTCAGCTCATGTTATCAATTAATTAAATAAACAATTTCATCACATCATGAATCCATAATCTGATAAATCTAACCATTATCAGATCTGTGCTAACGACAAATTAATAAATTATTTGCTTAGTTGATGTCATATGTTATATTAAAATTTTAATTTTTTGTGATGTTCTTCTTTTCACGGTACATTGTTATACATGATGTATATGAAAAGTTGTATAAAAAATGCATAAGATAAATAACAAAAATGCATAAGATAAATTCTTTTCATTCTCAGCTTTAACTGAATTATGAATCTGAAGATAAAAATATCATTTGTTTATCTTGCACATTTATAGTTTAATTAGATATATTTGTATATATATATACATATATAGATATATATAAAACATTAGCAACAAAAAGTCAAAGTAAT